AATTCCTGGAGATTTGAGGGATGGAGCCTGAAGAGGGTGAGGTTTGAGGAGGGGTGGGACCTCAGACAGGTACACTGCCATAGACTCCACCCTCCAAACCAGTCAGTCTCACATAGGGAACCATTGTTGCCAATCTCCAGGTGAGGGCTGGAGAGCACTCAGTATTACAACTGCTCTGCAGAAGGGAGGGCAGAAGTCAGCTGAAGTCAAAGGGGCAGATAATGGTAGGTTGGTGGCTAGCTGGGAAGGAGATGGGGTTGCCAACTACATGCTGACAAATTCCTGGGGATTTGAGGGGTGGAGCCTGGAGAGGGTGGGGTTTGCAGAGGGGTGGGACCTCAGACAGGTAGAATGCCATAGACTCCACCCTCCAAACCAGCCATTTTGTCCTGGGTAACAATTGTTGCCAATCTCCAGGTGAGGGCTACAGATTACTCACAATTACAACTGCTCTTCAGGTAGCAGAGATCAGTTCCTCTGGAGAAAACAGTGGACTCTGTCATTATACCCTGCTGAGGTCACCACAGCAAATTGACACTGTTTGCCCAAAGCCAGAGCACTGCCCCAGAGCCTCTTTCTAGATCCCGTTGTATTGCTTTCACAACGGGCTTTACTGCTAGTTAAACTCTAAAACAGGCTTGAGTCTCAGAGTAAATCTGGGAATGAGACAAAGGGTGGTCGTGGATTCTGAGGCAGTTTCATTATTAGGAGGACCAAATCTGTGATTATCTCCTGACTGCTAATAGGGGCAGCAGAAAAGTTGGTTAGAAAAGTAGATTAGAAATTTCTTCTTTTGGGGGGGGGCAGTGGTGGTGACTGGATTCAATAATCTCCTCATTGAGATCTGATATTCCTCACACCAAATAGAATGGGATATCTATAAATGTATAAATACTATTTTACCCTCACACCATCAGCACCTGAAATATCTCAGATTGCATGGAAAGCCAGATGAAATGGTTTTGGTATACCATTCCACAAATGGGATTAAAAGTGGTCAGTGATCTCTGAGCACTCTAGTTCTGCAACCACCAGAGAGTTCTGCAACCAACTGAATTGGGGGGTGGGGTGAGGATAAACATTTGTTGTAAAAGAGGGTGTGATGAACTAAGTAAAAACAGCCTGAGTGTAGGCAGTGGCAGAGGCTCACTCTGATTGGTGAGCCACCTCCATGACAATGGAATGCATCCAGCAGGGAGCTGGGGAGGAAAAAAGATCTGGACAGGTAGGCAGTTGAGGTCTTGAAGCTTTGCAGAATCCTTGCCGCGGGGACCGTGAGACGCATTTCACCGCCGTCGCCAGGACATGACGCTATGTTTGGAGCCCCGTTGCCAGAGCGACGTGTAGCGTCAGATCCTGGCGACAGCGGGTACAACGCGTCTCACCGTCCCCGCGGCAAGGATTCTGTGAAGACCTACAATCCCCCGCTGCGACTTGGCAACCCTACTTTAAAACCATTTTCCCATTCCCCTGCCTTTTATAAAGAATAAATCTTCTTATTTTATTTAAAACCATGCTATCGGTGTCATTCTTTTATATCTGTCAGGAAAGGTTTGGGCTCCTGAGGTAAAAAGTAAAAGGATGACAGAAGTCATATAGGTCCCCTTTACCAGAGTGAGAAGGATACCTTCACATAGTGAGGAAAAGGGATTTGTGACTATCACTAACAGCAGCTTCCACAGCTTTGGGGCTATGGCAGAGAAAGCTACTCACTGTTGCAAAGATGAGAAAAGCTGCAGCTGCCAAAATTTCCTCTTCTAATAGTGCAAACCTAAACTGAGTCACACTGTTCTAAGCCCATTAACTTCAATTGATTTAGAAAAGTGTAACACTTTTTAGGATTGCACAGTTAATTGCTATTCAAGGCACAACCCCTCCGTCCTTTATTCTGCTTGATCACCCTTTTTAGAAGATACTAATCTGAGAATAATATCTGAGAACAATGAACTGCTACATTAGAATTGCTTTGCAGACCACTCCATTGTGAATGATAAAACTCTACCTTGGCTCTGAGGTGAGTGTCTCCGGAGAAGATGGCTGCACCACAGCAAGGAAATGAAAACCAGGGAAGCCAAGAAGAGACGAGAGAAGAAGTGCATTGTTTTGCCTGGACGACCAAAGTGACTGCTACTAGTGACAGCAGATATCTAAAGTGAATATCTAAAGAAATGTCAGCAAAAGAACCATGGATGTTTACTCTGGGAAGAAACTGCAGTCAGGGTAAGGTTAAAGTACAGTTTGCGCACACGCTTTGTTTCCTAATATATCTGTCATCAACAGACAGTGATACCTAGCTCGCCAAAGAAGCACAGCTCACAGCTTCATGTGTGTAGATGACATCCAACCTGTGGGGGGAAAGATTATATCTGCCATTTTGACTAGAGATGTTATGGGACAATTCCTTACCTGGGCCTGATTGCTCAGACGTCAGTGGTAGAGTCAATAGAACAAAGCAATTCCAGGGGATAAAAATAGGGTTGCCAATCTCCAGGTGGTGCTGGAGATCTCCTGGGATTACAACTGATTTGCAAGTGACAAGGATCAGTTCACCTGGAGAAAATGGCCACTTTGGAAGGTGGATCCTATGGCATTATTCTCCTTCCCCCCCTGCTATCCTCAGGCTCCAGCCCCCAGATCTACAGTTATTTCCCTGCCAGGAGCTGGCAACTGAAGATTAAAAATGCTGGCCAGAACAAAACGTTTCTACCAGTTTCCACAAAGTCAAAGGAAGAAGGTCTGATGGACCTTCTAGGACCGACAATATTATGGTCTAGGGGGCCATGGCTGAAAAAGGCCCTGCATGACATACCCAGACCTCTCATTTCTGTTAATGCAGGCACACAAAATAGGGCAATTAAGATAGCACCTGATTTGCCTACACAGCAGTTCCAGAGCAGAATGACAAACAAAACTGAAGTGCAATGTATCTATTTGGGTTTTTTTGGTGTGTGTGTGTGTGTGTTTAAATCTCGTTGCTGCTGTTTACTGTCATATACTACAAGAGTCACAGCCTCAAATAACCAAAGCAACAAGAAAGAAAGCTGTAATATAGTGTTACACACTCCAATTGGAATAATTATAACAATAATTCTTGCATCCATATAAATATAAGCAAAGTGCAAAGAAGAAAAGATTGGATTTAGATCCTGCCCTTCACTACCCAAAGGAGTCTCAGAGCGGTTTACAAACTCCTTTCCCTTCCCCTCCCCAAAACAGATACCCTGTGAGGTAGGTGGGGCTGAGAGCTCTGACAGAAGCTGGTCTTTTTCAAGAACAGCTGTGCCAGAACTATGGCTTGCCAGGCTAAGGCCATCCAGCAGGTGCAAGTGGAGGAGTGGGGAATCAAACCCGGTTCTCCCAGATTAGAGTCTGTGCACTTAACCACTACACCAAACTGGCTCCATATGTAGATGTGATCAATGCTCCCTCTAAGCTGTGGAGTCTTGTGAGCAAAAATTCTACTTTGTAAGCTGCTGGCATTAAAGTTGTGGGTGAGCCATTTGGCTACTGCATAAATTAGTTTGCTCTGGAGCCATCCTTCCTGAGCTAAGACAAAAGTGTGTGAGCTGGAGGCTAAAGAACTGTGAGCTAGCTCGCACTAACTCAGCTTAGAGGGAACACTGGTCGTGATGATTGTTGATTAAGTTCTCCGGAATATCTATTTATTTTGTGAAGAATTCATCCGAACGAGGACCATAAATTACAATGGTGTGTCTTCTATCTTTTATCCATCATTGAGTGCAAATATACAAGATCACATTTTCACCTGGAATTGTTTCTCATTATTCTATATGTAGTAAGCTCCGACGGGCATGATTGAAAATGCTAAAGATAGAAGACACACCATTGTAATTTATGGTCCTCGTTCAGATGAAGTCTTTACGAAACGAATCGATATTCTGGAGAACTTTTATATTTATATGGATGCAAGAATTATTATTATAATTATTCCAACTGGAGTGTGTAGTGCTTTATTACAGCTTTCTTTCTTGTTGCTTTGGCTGTTTACTGCCAGCCAAAACTCCTTCCCCCCTTTTCACCAACACCACTTTTTAAAACAAGAGGTGTCATTGGTTTTAATGGTTTGTGTTTGTTTGTTTTTTAGTTCGAACATGTCATTCTAGCTTCCTAGATACAAAACAGGGTTTCTCCATATTTTCTATTATGGACAGAGGTCCAGAAATTTGGACTTTTTTTCTTTTTAAACCCTGATTTCTCTCCCATTGTCAGTAAGATGCAAGCCCCATTCATTTATGGAGATGTGAGGGGAAAATATGTATTTATCATTAAAAATGTTACCCTCAAGACATAGCAGAATAAAATCATATACTGTAATAGCTAAAATACAAATCTCTCCTATATATAAAGCTGTTTCGGTGTGACTCTTGGACACGCTCCCACAGCCTTTGGCCCACTCAGCTGCCACTCTCATGGTCTCCCAATCCCCTGGCTGCATTGCCTCGCTGCTTTGGCTCGGCCCCGCCCACGGAGCCAGTGGCCAGTGTTTCGCCTTCACTCTGGAGGGAGCTGCTTAAGGGAATGGAGTCTCGGCCTCAGTGTGCTGGGAGCCGAGGCACAAGATACCTGTTCCAGCAACCAGGGGGTAAGGAGGCCAACTGTGAGACAACGCGGGAACAAAGCAAAACAGCAGATAAGCAGGAAGGGCCTGAGTCACTGCAACTTGCTGTTTGCGAGCCCGGCCAAAGATGGAGAGGTGGCTGGGCGCCCGTGGGGGTGGGCCTGGCCATTGGCGGGAAACCCAGGACCTCCCTCCCATTCCCAGGCCAGTGGTGCGGATATGCCGCGCTAGCCTAAGGGGAGTTTGGGAAGGAACAAGCCGGCCACTTTGGACCACTTAAACACGATGTTATAAGGGGCCGTCCATCTCGGGGGGGGGACGCCAAACAGCCCAGCAGCAATGGGTTCTCCGGGGAGGGGCCAACAGGGCACCACATGGGGTTCCTGGGTGATGGACTTCAGCTCGCACCCGCCTGGCGCACCTGCTCCGTCTGCTCCCAGATGCCTCCTTTCTCCAGGGCTGTTGCAGGCCATGGCCGAGGATGACACTTGCCCGTTGCATCGGACTGGGGGTTGGTGCACCTTGCTGTGCCCCCCGGGGTTGCTCCATTCACCCCCAGCCTCCTATCAGTGCAGTGGGAGCGGAAGGAGGATGAACGCCCTGGCCCCGGGTCACCGTGCCCCACCATTTGTGGTGCCAGCCGAGGACAGGGAGGTGGCTGAGCACTGGGAGGGGTGCACCTGGCGAGTGGCAGGAAAGCCAGCGCCTTCCTCCCCTCCCCACGGCTCAGCGACTATCGGTTCCCTGGGCATGGGCCTACAGAGCGCCGCCAACGATTCCGGGGCGGGGGGCTTCACCTCATCTCTGCTCTGCCGCCTCTGCTCCTGGACACATCTCTAGCCCCCTTGTATTGCCACTACAACAGACTTCCCTCCTAGCAACTGTATAAAACAGGAAAACAATTACCTAGTAAACCAACCAAAAGAATACACACTTACTCAGCATTCAGTCAAAAACAAATACTTGCCATAAAGGAACACTTCTTACTCTTATCTAAACAAAAACATTGAGGAGATTATAAGGGCACCCCTCAGCATTTTGGTGCTGCTACTAAAAAGGCCCCATCTCATGTTATCAGCCAGTCTCAAATGGTGGGGAGACACAGAATAGTGCCTCAGTAAAAGAGCTGAATAATTTGGGAGATAGAAGGGCAGTCTCATCATCTTGACAATAAATGATTCTGTGAGGAGAGGAATTTCTGCTCTCTCATGAGAACTAGAAAGTTATCTCATTATGCAGGGAAGGACACTACTAATTATCAATTCCTAGTCCATGAAATGATTGTCTGTTTCCCTCATCCTATAAGATGTTGAAACTGGTATTAATTGGTTGCTCAAAGGGCCATTTCTTACATTACTTCTCTGTTTCCATCTTTATTATGGTCTCCAATTTTTGAGGACATAGAATGATAGCCACCTTGGTCTACCCAAGGTAGAGTATCCATAATCTGATTTTTTTTTTTTGATCCAGCCCTTCTGTTTTTGTTGTCTAACACCAGGGCACCATTGGAATAGCTGTAGTTGCTCGCCATTGTCTAAGGGTTGTTGATAGTTTTATCTGATTTTATTGTTTTATCCTAATGTTGTAAACTGCCCTGAGCCCGCTTGCAGGAAGGGCGGGATAGAAATTGAAATAAATAAATAAAATTATAGGTAAATGTGTAAGAGTAAATCCAAGAACACAATGAAATCCAGGTTTTCTCTTGGGTGAATGGAAGGCTTTTGTGCTGTCAATTCCATGTCCCCAGCTACTGCCCCTCATGCCAGTTCTTAACAGCATTAGAAAGGGTTTTCTGACCTTCAGGACCAACTGGGGGGGGGGATGGAGAGGAAAGCTGTGAAAGGAAGTCCACTCATGATTCTCTGGATCTGAGTCTAATGTATGGATCAGAACAGATTTGGAAATATGTGGTTGATTTCACACTAGAGCTGCTTCAATGTTGCGCCGCTGTTTGCCCCGATACTACTGGTCAATTTCACACCCGAAGCCGCGGGGCTGCATTTTGACTTGCGGCTTCGCCCAATTTCCCCCGCACTTTCGTAATCCTGTTTTTTGAGGATCACGAAACTGCGGAGGAAATCGGGTGAAGCCGCGGGTCAAATGCAGCCCCGTGGCTTCGGGTGTGAAATTGACCAATAGTATCGGGGCAAACGGCGGCGCAACATCGAGGCAGCTCTAGTGCGAAATCAGCCTGTGTCTCATGTGGGCAACTGACTTAGAGTCAGAACTGGCTGCAGTTCCTGTCCAATATATACCTAGTGGCGGGCTGCCTCTTTGACTGGTGTTTTCTTTCTTGCACAGGAAATCTCAGACCCTCTTATTTGCTGCCTTAAATTTCCACCAGAGGGCGGCAAATTCATGGGAAACAATAGCCTGTCCCTGTTGCATATGTGCACTTCACTGAAATGATGAACAAAAGCAGATATGTTATAAGGGCTCCCAGCATTAAAGGCACATCTGCTTTATGTATTACTTCTGGATCTAGGGTAAGGCTGATGTCTCTGCTCAAGATATAGATCAGGAAAACTTCTGTTTATGCCGAATGAATTAAAGAGGCCTCTGCTTCAGCGGAATGCTTGCTTTGAATGGCATAACCCGTTTGAAGCATCCTGGAGATCAGCTATATTTGCACGGAATGGTGTTGGCGATGATGGGTGCTGAATGTGCAAAGCATGTGCAGATCTACTGTCCTCCCCACACACTGAATAACCCTAATATTGAATAATCCTTATCTTAAGCAGCCTCGGTACATTTAGGACGGATTTTTAGATCAGATAGTTTCTATGTTTGTTTGTTTATTTATATTCCACTTTTATTCTAATTTTATTTATTCATTTATTAAATTTATACCCTGCCCTCCCAGCTGAGGCTGGCTCAGGGTGGCTTACATAAAAGCACATAGATACAGTTAAGAACAGTCCTAAAACTTTCTAAAACCATCTGACATTATAAAGTGCTAGTACTCATTATTGTTGTTTAATGATGGTGGCCAAGTTCAACAATCTGTTCTCACAGTCGGCTCATAGATCATCCTTAGGCATCTGGCACAGGCTGTAGTTGGATTTCCAGGGGGGCAGGGCTCTATATCCTTCAGCTGTTGGGGGCGGTTCCTTGCTTGAAAGCCTGGTGGAAGAGCTCCATTTTCCAGGCCCTGCGGAACTGCATAAGGTTCCGCAGGGCCTTGATCTCTTCTGGGAGCTCATTCCACCAGAACGGAGCCGTCACCAAGAAAGCCTGGTTACAGCCAGCCTGGTCTCCTTAACCTGGGAAGGCCAGTCAGTTTTGGGACCCTGATCTCAGTGCTCTCTGCAGAACATGTGGGGAAAGGCGGTCTCTAAGGGGGACCCAAAATGGTTTACTACATTCTCCCCTTCTCTACTTTATCATTACAACAACCTTGTCAGGCAGGTTAGGCTGAGGCAGTGACTACTCCAAGGTCACTCAGTGAGCTTCACGGCAGAGTGAGGATCTGAAGCATCCTGGGTCTTCCAGATCTTAGTCCGACACTCTAACCACTCTTGCATGCTGGCTTGTTGCACTTATTTTGAAACTGAAGCATTGTACTACATCATCATTGTCGTCGTTGTCGTTGTCGTCATCAGTGCATCCCTCCAGTGCTGGCCGCTTTCTGCTCGGTGTCTGGAAATGTCTAGAATGTACCTAGCATGGGAAGAGAGCACACTGCCCCCCTTCTGGGTAGCTGAGGATACACCATCTGTTTGTTGTTCAGTGGCACAGGGAACTCCGGTAGACTCCAATCCAAAGGAAATTAGGTGGGTTTAAGTTCCATTGAGATTAGTAGGACTTCAGTTATGACTAACATCCATTTGATTGCAATGGAACTTAGGTTTGATTGCTTAACTTTCTTTGCACTGAGATCTCTGTGAATAACTCACACACTTTTTAAGCATAAAAAATGTGAAAGCCATGTACCTTCTTATATTGGATAACTATGGAAATTCTCCAGCCTATTAATTTCAGTCAAAATTCTTTTACATCATCATGAAAGAGTAATGAATTGTCTCACTTTACGTACTTATTGTAGAAGAGTGAGAGTCCAAGTGATTGAGAGGTTGGATTAGAGTCCCCACACAACTGTGAGGTTGACAGGGTGGTTCTGGGCAACATCATTGTCTATTGGCCTAAACTGGGTAAAATGCTGCCAAAATGGTGGGTTAAAAAGGTAATAACTGTGAGCGTGTCCTCAGCCACCCAAAAAGGGTGCTCTCTCCTGCAGCAGGTACATTCCAGTCATTGCAGGACACTGAGCAGAAAGCTGCTAGCACTGGAAGAATGCATTCCACTATGGAGGACAGGCTGTGGAAACATCAGAAAGGATTAGGATCCCAGCCATTAAATCTGAAGGGGGGGGGCTGATTCAGCAGTTTCTTGCACACACAGAGTATGGATCCCCATATTACATTTGTTGGGTAGAATCTTGCAGTATAATTACTTTTTGGGTAATCATGTGAGAAGAACTGGGCCATGTGAGGAGTGTTAATGCTGCACCCCTTCTCATAGGATTTGCCAACCCTTGACTGCCAAACCCTGAGGGCCTGGGGTGTGAGCAGTGACTTACCAAAATGGTGTCCTGCAGTGCTGCAACAGCAATTCCAGCTGCACGAGAAGAAGTGACCTCATTGCATGGCACTCTAAAATCCCCCGCCTCCAAATCTCTGTGGTAAAAACCATAGCGTTTGGGGAGAATCCTACAACATTCTGTGATACGGTGATGTTGCAGCACTGAATGACGTCGTTTCAGCCACCTCATTTCCTCCCATCAAATGGGGCAACCTGTCCAACCTATCCCCCTGTCCTAGCTCTGTTGTCACAGGGGCAACTACTTGGGACAGCCTGAAGCAAACACAGACACAACTGTATGGTTGCCACGTGATAATGTCTTGCCCATTCTATCTTTCCCTGGAAGTACTTTATCCCCAGAATCGCTGTGTCTGTGTCTCCTTTGGCCCATCTGAAGTGCTTGCCAAATAATGGCTGAGCTGGCCTTCTTCCTTTCCAGTTGGCTGTTTGGCTACATCCGGTGGGGGTTATGGACCTCCTCTGGTTGGTTGTATAATATACTGGGTCCGATGCATAGTGTAGTGAATCAGCTCTTAGTTTATTTCGGAACAAGGCACAGAAGTCGGCTCGCAAGCCGGCTTATATTCCCAAAGCAACACACACCCCAACACCTGTGATAGGTTTATTTACAGTGCTTGTGCTCAATAGGTTCAGTCTTGGATCCTAGCCTTCCGATTGGAGCGGGCTAGGATCTGATCGTCTATTGTTTGTCAGAGCGAAGCTTTGTGTGACCCCGTGTGGACCTGACCTCACATGTGGTCGACTAGTATACAACACCCCTCCCCCCATAGTCCGGAGGCACCAACAAACATAGTCCTGGAGATAAGTTGGAGCCTTTCTTATTCTGGAAGAATGGCAGAACTCTGGGGTGTCAGGAGCCAGGGCTCTTGGC